ATTCGAATACGCACGTGTTTTTATATAATATACGTGTCGAAATTCAACCCCACTGAAGGGAGATGGTTAGTATTAAGGCTTACGGTAAAGAACTCTGCTTCTATTTATACTATTTTAGATGCGGGTTTTTGCGTTTTAATAGGGTACGTCAAAAGAATGTACACTAACAACAAATTTTTCGATATTCCCCCGCGGGGGAGAGAGACAGGATCAAGGCTTACCATGAAGAACTTGGCTTCTATGATACTATTTTAGATGCGGGTTTTTGTGTTTTTGATTGCGTTTTAATAGAGTACGTCAAGAAAATGTACACTAAGAAGAAATTTTATGAAAAATTCCCCTCCCCACGGGGGGAAGTGTTATAAATTTATAATAGATACATTTTGAGCCACAACAACGCGTGGCGGGGTCTTCTAGTTCAAAATAAATTTATCCGCAAAATTTTTACGTTAGAATATAATATACCTGGAAGTGCACTCAGATTGGAAATGAATAGTTAAATTAATTAATTAAAATATCTATAACCATAAGGTAGATAATAGGAAGGGCTTATCACACCAATGACAAATGGCACAAACGCTCAAAAACGCTCAAAAACGCTCCTTTGTCATTGGTGTGATAAGCCCTTCCTATTATCTACCTTATGGTTATAGATATTTTAATTAATTAATTTAATTATACTAAGGGCTAAAAGCAATNTATCACACCAATGACAAATGGCACAAACGCTCAAAAACGCTCAAAAACGCTCCTTTGTCATTGGTGTGATAAGCCCTTCCTATTATCTACCTTATGGTTATAGATATTTTAATTAATTAATTTAATTATACTAAGGGCTAAAAGCAATTTCTGCAATGGAAATGAATAGATTTAAATTATGTGCATTTTTTATAAAAAGATACATTAAATTCTTTTTCAAGATAAGAGATAGTGGAAATCTACTGGCTATTTTATTGAGGTTATTTATATCATAAATCAAGGGTGAATGTGCAGAGTAGAAAATGGGTAGGTGAATTATCAAAAATTCTTAATAGTTATGGTTTCTCTATAGGACCACTTATGGAAATACCCGAGATGAGCGAACAGTCAAGGGCCCAACTGATTCAAAATGTATTAGAAATCTCCTCGTCTCAGGATATCGAAGATCTTCATAATCGGAATATGCCGGAGTGGTATAGCACAATCTTAGAATATCCATGTAATAATAGTTATATGTTAACAAACTTATCTTTAATATTAACAAATTCGTTATTCAACTTAGACTAAACAAAGAGACGATAATAATTAATAGCAAATTTTACGAATATTCTAATTGTGGCTGACAAATTCTCAAAATGTCATGTGTTTTGTAAGTATAAGGAGGCTATAGAGTTACGACACCGTTACGATCTTCACTCTCTAGGTAACTTCACTATGGAAAATTCTATGTATGGGTTTTTCATACAAAGATTGTAACAATTTATAAATTATATAATTATACTCAAAAATTCGTTGTAACCGTGTGAGTTAAAAATAAGCAAACTAAACTAAAAATAATTACATATTTTCATTAACAATAACATTTAAATAGTATAAGATGTTGAAATTGGTTGTGCTTTATGTTAAAACTATTGGTGGTTTTACTGTGTTTAGGTATTAATTATAACACCCTGTTGTAACAGGCAATAGCCTAGTATGAATAAAAATTTCATTGATTGATTGATTTTGGATTATTTACTTACATATTCAAAATCTTTCTACTAGGCCACTTACTTTTTCGGTAAGAAATATACTGCACTTAAACATATTTTGACAGAAAGAAAGGTCAATGTACGTTTACAAATACAAGTGAGAGTTTATAAGTATTTTATGTCTGTTAGGAATGTTAAACTGTTTTTCGAACTGAGGCTGAAACTTTTAGGATATAGGTTACCTAAGTCCGATGACAATGCACTTTAATGATGTTTTAGCGATGAACACAATCCTCCCAACCCATAACCGATAAACATAACCAAATGTGGAATTTAATCACTGATATGTACAGTACATAAATTGAACTGTAATGATGGTCTCACATCCCCATCATTCCCCACACCAATCTCGAAAAACACCAGAAATTAAATCGTTTTTTTTTTATTTTTTAAAAATAAAATTATTTAAAACGTTATATAAATTTATAATAATTCATGTTGCTGAATGCTTGATTTTAGTCTAGAATTTTTATGATATCTTATCTTCAGTTATTTTATACTTATAATTTTGAGAATTTCCATTTTAAATGGGCAAATTTCCCGTTATTATATAACGGGAAATATAATTTCAGAATTTCCATTTTAAAATATTCTGTATAATACACAGAAGTAAGCCTGTATGATTATTGTGATCAGATCAAGGATAAACATTATTAACATAACATAATTGAAGACAAATATTTCAACGCTAGTATTCTCTTACAAAAAGGAAATGACTGCCTGCTAAATTTACTTAGATTTTTTTCTTTTATTCAACACGACAAAATAGAAAATAAATCATTTAAAATGTTATACAAACATGATTTATATTTAGAATAGTAGAATTCCTTATTTAGATATTAAATAAGGAATTCGATCACAAAACGTTATAAATAAGAAATTCGCAACAATTCGCCCTCGAATGACGCTTGGATAATTACTGTACTGTACGAGGCGACTGGTCAACGTTGCAGACAACTTTGTGGTATGTCTTCGTTTAGTAAAAAGTATTTACAGATTGCATAAATTATTATAAATACTTTCAATTTTGACAGAAAAAAATATTTGCTGATGTCTACATTATAAAAATATTTTCATTAAATGTAACAAAAATAATTGCTAAAGTCGAAAACAAAATAACACTAAATAAATTGCTTTCAGCAGCTGTACATTTTACATTAATATGTACGACATTATCATGTAATTATAACTATATTTTGATAAATACTGATCTATCATCATGAATACTAATGTAAATTATTAATTGTTAGTTTAATAAATTTGTGTAAAAGGTTCTAAAGTTATCTGTAACCGATGAGGAAGAGAGAAGATAGAGAAAGAGAAGAGACATACAAATAAAAATTTATTAGTAGAAGATTTTTTTGTCGGGATTTTATTTTTTAAATAAGTTATTTGGTGATATAGGCCTATGACTTAAAAAAACATTCATAGAAAATTAAATTTGATTTTGAAAATTCTGAAGCCGTGAGTGAATAAAATTAAATAAAATTCTAAAGGTAAAACAAAAAAAAAACTACTCGTGTCGAACAGTTTTTAACTTTCCTTTTAAAAATTTTGGAAAGCATTATACAGTATTAGAAATATCATTTTCGGAAACAATCGCCCTTATTATAAAGTTTGCTCAATTGTTATTTATATAGGGTTATCATGTTAAATTTAGCATGTTTATCAGTTCCACTAAAACTGAGAGAGGCAGAATCTCTATCAAACGGAAACTTGCGAAACATTAAAAATTAGGATTATTTCGGTTTTACTATCAAATTATTTCAATAAAATATCTTACCTAAGGTGAAATCTATGAGACATAAACTAAAAGCTGTTTGCTTTATACTAAGTTAAATGATGTAAACATACCATGATTTTTGCAGTTATTCCTATATCTGTTATCTTCGTATAATCTTTCTAATCTAAAACTTCTATTCAATTTTTTTTAAAACAATATTAACGTCCTTTACATGCCTGTATATGTGTCTTTTCAGGTTAATTACGCATTTAACGTCCTCGTATTAAAAATATTACAATAAACAGTAATTTCCTGTAAAACTTTTAAATGTTAATACCGTTTATTGAGAATTTATTAATGATATTCATTTCAGTTTTAGAATATTAATTACAAAATAGACATTGTCTTTTCATCTGTTGTAATTACTCGTATATTAATCCTGCATGATTAAAATCTGTATAAAATCAAAACAAACATGAATGCAAAATGACCTACAAATAAAAAACAAACTAGTTTTTAACCTACAAAAGTGTACAATCACGTATTATCTTAAATCATTAATAAAAAGTTAATAAAATTCAGAATATTTATGCATTAGACAGGCAATATTATAAGAACATTCATTCACATACACAGAATTTTTTCAAAATGAGAATTTTGGATTGTAAATAGGAAAACACTACAGATTAAAAATTATTATATAATATTTAATATTAATATATATATTATTCTTGTTATTAATATGCAAATTGGCTCAACCGTTAATACTTTAGTATTACGTGTTTTTAGCATTATAACAAAAAATTCTTTCGAAATATGGCAATTAAATTGTATTTTTAGTCTCAGCGTTATGCGAAGACATTCTAATTTCAAAATTCATGAAATTTTCAGAATAACTTATTTGTATACTGTACCATAAAATAAAAAACTAATAAAAAGTGCAACATGGCCGTACAAGAAAAAAAAATAAATTAAATAATTAAATTTATAACAATCGTTTCATTTCTTTATTTCAAAATATACAAATTGAAGAAATATAAGGCCTTTTTTATATTTGATAAAATTACAGAATAAATACAATGCATAAAACAATATTTGAACTAAACAGATAACAATTATCACTATTTAAATTACTAGTAGTCTACAACTATTTGAATTTTTAGCATAAAAATGTGCCCTATATAAGATTTGTTAACAAAAGTAAATCATTCTTGTGCATTATTTTATTTTACCCGTTTCCAAGCCGAATTAATCTGAAAAATATTTCAGAAATACACTGTTAAGGTTGTTTTGAATTTAAAAAGACTATATGTTGACATCACTATCGCACTGATTCGGAAAAACATAATACAGAGTAAGAAATTTCAGTGTTTGTAATTTATAAGTTATTACTAATTTAATAGCAAAAATAATGTCTAAATCACTATAAATTTTTATATCACCAGTTTTAAAGTTTTAATACTAAAAGTTTATTTTTATTCCTGCAAGATAATATAATATAACAATTTTTGCAAATTTTTTTTTTTTTTTGTAGTTTAAGAACTTTTTCCGCTATTTATTTCTGAATATTGAAAATTCTTAATAAGCAGTTAATGTTTTAAAATCACTCACTGATAAATGTTGCATTATTTATCAGAGGAAACACGATAACTCCAAACTCATAAAAGGATTTTAGTAACAATCGGAAAAGGACTTTTTTTAAAATTCAAAGGAATTCTTTCTAATAATAGGTTTGAGAAATTACGTAACATTTAGTTATTAAAAACATGTCGTTATATTTATTATTCTATAAGTGATTATTTATAAACATTTTATTGGTGAAATTGCTATATTCGATAGAAAAGGATAAATTTTTTGTTTGTCTGGTGATCACGTTTTTCGGCACTTAAAAAGTCCTTCTAATATCAATAATTTTCAATAAAAAGTATTCTTGTCATAATTAACAAATTCTTGTGAATTATAAATATAATACGTGGAATTATCAATCATTTTGTATCCTAATTTATACATAACGTCACCACATTCCTTTTGGATGCGTTCGATTTCCTTGAAAGATAAATGATGGATCCATTGGAAAGGAGCGATCGAGGAGTTTCTATATGTGGAATAGAATATTTTTGTTTTGGGTTGTCTATTTGTGTGTGTTTGCACAAATCTTGCAGCTTCGGACGTGAAGGGAATGGATAACCATTTGTAAAGATTTCTAGCCATGTTCTCTGGATCTAAAGCTAAATCTTCGTATCTTATCCAATGAAAAGACATATTGGAGGTGTTTAAAGCTTCCAAATCACTTCGCATTTCGTTACATAGGAAAAAGGGTGTGTTACACGTCACATTTCTACACCATTTCGTTTGTTTTCGAGAATTAAGGATAGCTCTGGGATCGCGGCTCAAATACACCAATTTGATATCTAAATCAGAATTTTGTTTAAGAAAAACTAAAGCATCTTTCAAGTTAAGTCTCGCCACTTTCATGAGTATTGACTGTGATTGACTGCAAATCTTATAATGATATTTGATATCGCGACACAAAACTGAATTTTTACAATTTGACATTAAGTATTTATTTCGAATGAAAATGAAAGAATGTTTAGGTAAATACCGGTTATATTCAATTTTTTCGTTAAATTGACAACGAAAAAGATGCGATAGAGTATTGAAAGCTTCAGACGTTTCATAACTGTCAAATTTCCTTCTCAACCCCCAAAAATGTAAAGGTTCATAATAATAAAAGGTTTTAGGATTTTGTTGTGTAAGATCTCCTAAAAACGTTGAACCTCCTCGAAGGAAAGTAATTAATAATATTCTTGTCACGTTATCTTTTACAAGAACAGGCGAGTTCTTTTGAAGCTTGGAGATATGGAAACTTTTGGTAGAAGATTCTTTTAAAGAATTCGATGAAGTTTTGGAAGAAGAAAGTGAAATATTCTCTTCTAATTGTTCTTCAATATGTAATATTCTCAACTTATCTTCTTTTGAAATGAATGTGTTACTGATGAAATAATATTCTGTAAAGAGTTCAAAATAATTTAGTTTTGAAAATAATTTAATACTAGTATTAAATTAAAGGTATAAATTGTTATGAATTGAATTATTCAATAACGTAATTAAAGAAGAACTCCACTGCAGAAATAGTTCTTTAATATATGTTGTATCCCAAATGTCCTTACGCAGTTTTAAGAGGCATAAATGTTTCAAACTTTATTCTTATACTTGCAATAAATATCATACGAAAACTGAATTAAAGTATGTTATAGACGCTATTACGTATGACACATTATTCGAGCCGATTTCAAACTCAAGAAAACATTAGTCATCTGCTTCCTGTTCAATGGCTGCTTAGATTTCATTATAATCTTCGTCATATCATCATCGAAACAATGGGTTTTTGATGCACACATATCTGTTTATACGTGCTCTGAAACGTCGTCTGTGACCCCAATTGCATTAAATGGCGAAGTGGTCGAACAAAAAGCCTTCCTTAACTAATTCACATTTCTGTGTATTCGTAAAACTAATACATCACATGAAATACTCCAATAATCGGTTTGTAATTGTAATATTTAAACAACAGATTATGGTTAAAGAATTTTGGTAGATTTATTTTTATTTTTGAAATTTATTAATTTTTAAAAAAACGATACGTAACAATAGTTTTATAAACGTGACAGAACCTAACATTATTTTTTGAGAAATAAATCATTAATTTCCTGAATAAATTCATATTTGAAATTATTTTAAAGCAGACTTTAATCAAATAATTTAAACTTATTCAAAAATATAAAAATTTGTGATATACTTACCAAATTTTGAATACAACAGTATCAGGAAAATAATGGTGAATAATATTAACCTTAAAGTTTTAAATTTGGCCATCTGAAATGAAATAATGTCAATGCGTTAATTCTTAAATAATGTGGCAAGGGCTGTAGCTCGAGTTTACCTGCACTCGAACAAGAAGTTAAGGAGACCATTAGGAGGTCCGATAATTTTCAATTATACCAGAATATAAAGTTTAAATAACAACATAAGCTTCAAAATACTAATATTGTTGAATTATGATAAAAAATCTCCATTTAAAATATACTTAAATGAAAACAAAAACACTATTAACTACCTCTAAATTAAAATTGCGAGTGGCACCTTCTGTTATGAGATTTTGTTGTAAAAAACATTTTATATTATTATTATAAAATGGCAAAAAGCCTAATTTTGGTGATAGAGATGGGTTTTATAAAAACAATTGTAAGTGCTAATAATGAGTAAAATGTTCATTAAGTCCGATTCCTCTCGAGGTATGATACATGACCTACCTCTATTTTTCACCCCCTCGATTTTTAACCACCAAAATTTAATAGCATCAATGCCGCTTATATACAAGTTACCTTACCGATTTTCTTTTCTTAATTTTTATCCCTTCTTGAGATATTAAAAGAAATAGACGCCAACGGACATACACACGCTCATAGGCTACATACACTTACATACATATTCCGAGTATCAGTTTTTTGACTTTTTTGGATGTGTCTAAACATCAAGATTCCAAAAACCCGGAAGATCAAATGTGACACAAATACAATAATACAGTATAACAACTAGAGATGTAACCCATTATACGTTAAAAGGACCAGGAAAGTAGCAAGAAAGTAAAAATTTGAGATGATTACAATACTTTCCCGTGTTATGTCATAACAACCGGGAAAGTATTAATAAAAGGCAAAAGGCTTAATTTTAAGGGTAGAGACGAGTTTTTTAAAATTTTAGATGTCAATAACGAATAAAATTTTCTTCTAAAAGTCCGATCATTCAATATTAAAATTAAAATTAAAGAGGTAGTGAAAATATTTAGAGGGGATCCTCAAAATTGAATTGCTCCTGGGGGCTCTCAAGTTCTGATTGTTATCAATGTAGATTGATAACAATCAATGTGATTGTTATCAATGTAGATTGATAACAATCGTTAACTGGATTGACATGTTGCGCGCGACCAGCATACAACGGGCAATCGAATCATAGATTTTACATGGTAAATCATAACCTCGAATATTTCGGCCCATAGATGGAATTTTAAAATTCCAGCTTATTCACGACATCGGTTGCCAATTTATACATGCAATCGGTTCCGAAATGACACAGCCACTATGAAATAATGACATTAATAAAGAAATAAAAGCATATTACAAAGCGATAGAATGAAATTGATCTTTGGTTTATTTTGATATTATTAATCAAATAAAAATATAAAATAATTTTAACAATGTTGTATAAGATATAGTATAAATAGAGGAGAAGGTGGTATTATGGAACACTGCGGGTATTATGGAACCACCTCATTTCGAACTGATAATAAAGGCAAACTGTAGCGGAATGTGGCTGAACTGAACTAGGCAGACATCCATAGCAAGGGGAAAACCCGTTTTACTTCAGTTGAACGGTTGTCGGTATTTAATCAGCAAATTTGTTTTTTTTCAAAATTCACAAGTTTTGAATGCTAAGTGAATTTAATTATTTTTAAAATATAAATTGTGTAGTTGTAGGTTCACTGGTGCATGTATTCCGTTCCAGAGACTTAGGGGTACATATTAATCTGTGTGATGTTCACGTTTTTTAAATTTTGGTCTTGACAGACATAAGTTAATTGAAGATGGCGATGCGTGAAATATGGACCCCATTGGTGCTTTTACAGTAATATGGAACGCAACTTCTCCGAACTTTCTATTTGCAAGCAGACATTCCTCCAGAGCAATTTGTGAAAAAGACACTAGGTAGAAAGCCAATTCTTCCCGAGAATATCGAAAAAGAGCTGCTGGAATATATATTGTTGACGGAGGTCATATTTTTCTATTATAAAAGCATTTTTGCGATAAAATACATTGGAGTAAATAATTTGGTAATTATTTAACATTTTTTGTCCTTTCCTATTTGTTTTTGGCTACATTAAAGCATTTTTTGAAAATATACAGTAAGGTTCCATATTACCACCCGATTTTCTCTAAGCCTACTTTCGGACTTTTTGTACAAAAGCCTTCAAAAAAACATACTTATAATTACACTAGCGAAAAATCCAATTAGGAACATTTAGTTTACTAGTTACCGGTACTTTTCGCACAAAAACTGTGGGTGTAGTTATGATACCTTGTTTACAATTCCCTAAAATGTAGTTGGGGTTCCATAATACCACCTTCTCCTCTATTTGTTGCAAAATGATATAGCGATTTCAACATTTAAATAATTGGTGGTTTTACTTATTATTAATAAGCAATATGCCCACTTTATTTATTAATTACTTCGTAAACGCTATCTGTCATTATTTTAATAAGATCTTTCCTCTCCTCATCTGTGATTTTGTGCCAAGCATCAGTTATTGTCTTTTTTAATGACTCCACTGATGTATATTGCTTTTTTTCCTGGATAATTTCCTTGCTAAAATACTAAACGTGTTTTCTATAAGATTAAGATCAGGAAAACATGAGAGCAATCCATAACATGTACATCGTTTGCCAGAGTTCAGTCCGAAGTTCATTTTGCACCATGACTAGGTACATTATCTGGATGCGAAAATTGGAAAAACTTGTCTCCAATACATTCAGAAAATGGTATTATGTGCCTATCTGATACTTGCTGATATCATACATCATTAATACGACCTGAGATAAAAGGTAATTTGTCGTACCACCCCATCCAAATGCACACCATACCATAACACAATACTTCCAGCAGCTTGCTGCCGTTCTTGAGTGAATTAAAAAAAAAACAGTTAAAAATAGTGAGAAGGAATAAGCGGTAATAAAATACAAAAATAAAGTTTAATAATAGTAAATATTTAAATTATCTGAGATGATAACTTTTTCATAACTTATAAAAAATAAAGAGCCTAATAATTTCATTACGTTGTTACAGATTACGAGATAAAATTCAAAGACATTTTATTGAATTTGTTCTCAAAAATCATTATTGTCACTTGGGGCTTAACACTAATTTAAATGACATTTTTACGGAAATATGTAAGGATAAGAATTTTTTAATCATATTATTTTTATTATGTTTACTCCTTTTTTACGTCTGATTTATTTCAATTTTATATAATGAGTATTTGATTCTTTTTTCGTAATATTGTGGTAATAGCAACTGGCCATACATACTGAATTTTTTTCTCATCACTCCTTATAACTTGTTGCCATTTATTAGTCCACGTCAAAGGTTTGTCTTTGTCGCTCTTATTTAGAGGTATTATTTGTATTCATTTTTTTATTTTATAGATGATTATATTGCGTAATGTTGATTTTGATACATTTATAAATAGGTGAGATGCAACATGCTTCAGACTCATTGTAGAATTGCTAAGTTTTCCGCAAATTATTATTTTTGACGCGAATTCGGTGCAGAAGGTCTTCATCTGACCTTTTTGTTCTATATTCTCCACTAAAATTTTCCGTGACATGATGTAAACGATTTTTCTCTTCCTATGATGAAACCGTTAATTTATCTTGTATTCCATAACTGTTTTTTTTTTTTTTTTTTTAGAAAGTCACCCCTAATTTACTACTGTCCTGTATATTATACTACTCTTTGTGCTATTTTACATATTAATTGCAATTTAACTGCTGAAGCAGAGATGCCTTTCTTATTTTGGGACAAGTATAACCTATACAACGTTGTTAAAATTCATTTATATTTTTATTTTATTACTGTTTTTGATAAAATTATTATTATATGATATCATAATAAACCAATAATCAATTCCGTTCTGTTAATTTGTAATCTGAAATATGAAGGGGGAAAATGACTATTCATGTGACAAAATGACAGGAAATCGGCAACCGAATCTTTATATTCTTCCAGTAGTCCCACTACTGAAAGAATATAAAAATTCGTAATTAATTAATTAACATGTAATCAGTCACCCCTTGGCCGAATTGGTCAGTATGGGAATCAATTCCACAATATGCTTCTTATTACTTTATTAATATCATAACTTTACAGTGGTTCTATCATTTCGAAACAGACTATTTCAAAATTTCATATTTAGTGGTAGTGTGAATGGTTTAAACTTACAACCGGCATCAGTCCATAGACTTTACGTGACAAATTTTAGCAACGAATATCTTGGTTCATAAATCGAATTTTAAAATACTGGCTTCGTCACAATATGGGCCTTGCCTAGTTATACACATTTAAGAAAAATCATGTTTAATGCAGTTGCTTTAAACTTCGATCACAGACAAAACACTTTCTGACTTATGAAGAGCTCCGCTCAATACGAGTTTTTATATTTTAATAGTCATGTGCAATCACAAAATAATATAATTGCAGACAAATATTTTAACGCTAATATTCTCTAGCAAATAAAAAATAAGCGTTCTAAAGTTGCTGAGATTGTTTTGATTCGATACGACAAAATAGATAATAAATCAATATAAATGTTATACAAATATGATTTATATTTAGAAATACTTATTATTTAATAAATGTACGTAAGGTTTTAAAGTTATCTATGTCCAATGAAGAAGAGAGAGGCTAGAGAAAGAGGAGAGACAGGTATAGAGAGATGAGAGACATACAAATAAAAATAATATTATTATAAGATTTTTGTGTCAAGATTTCTCTTTTTAAATAAGTTAAATACAATAAGATGTTATATGACTTTTAAAAAATCAGACAAAATTAAATAATTCGATTTTAAAATTTTGAAACCGTAAATTAATAAAATTAAATAAAATTCTACAGATAAAAAAACAAAACATTCATATAGAACTATTTTCATCTTCCCGTTTAAAATTTTTGAAAAACATTATATTATTAGCATCATCTTCAGGACACCATGTCCAGCTTTCAAATTCTAAAATTTAGAATTATTCGGTTTATTATCAAATTATTTCCATAAAATATCCTGCTTAAAGCGGAATCTATTAGACAAACGAAAAGCTATATGTTTAATTTATATTAAATAATAAAAGTAAAATCATTGGTGTTATAGAAGGTATTTTGAGCAATAATCCTCAGTTTAAAATTTTGGAAAAATATGTGTTTACTCCTAATATTGGGATCCACTTTCCTAATGGTGATGGTAATGGTGATGGTAATTGTAATTCCAGTTTCCTATTTACTATAAAAAAGTCAAAAACTCCAATATTTACGCTTTCAAAAAGTGAGAAAACCAAGGAAATATTCTGTGTTCTTCCGTAAAAATCAAGTTATTTCATCTGCACCATTACATTTTTATTTGGTATATGCAATCATGATGATAGTATACACAAAGCATTATGTAGAAAATTTTTTAAAAGCTATAATATTCAGTGTTTATAAGTTAAATAATGTAAACCTACCATGATTTTTGCTGTTATTCCTATATCTGCTATCTTCCTATAATCTTTCTAATCTAAAACTTCTATTCAATTTTTTCATATAAAACAATATTAATATTCTTTACCTGGTTGTACAGTACATGTGTCCTTTAAAGTTAATTACGTATTTAACGTCCTCATATTAAAAATATTACAATAAACAGTAATTTCCTGTGAAACCTTTACATGTCAAATACCGTGTATTGAGAATTTATTAATGATATGCATTTCGTCGATCAGTTTTTGAATATTAATTAAAAATTAGGCATTGTTCTTTATCCGTTGTAATTACTCGTATATTAATCCTGCATGATTAAAATCTGTATAAAATCAAAACAAACATGAATGCAAAATGGCCTACAAATAAAAACCAAACTAGGTTTTAACTTACAAAATATGCTGAAATTTATGCATTAACAGGCAAAATTTTAAAAACTTTAGCCCCTATACACAAAATTTTATCAAAATGAAATATTTGGATTGAAAACAGGAAAACACTACAGCTTAAAAACTATTTTAATATTCTTTCAGCTTTATAACTAAGTTATTTCGAAATGTTTTGATTAAATTGTATTTTACCTCAGTATCCAGCTGTCCGGATTGTTATTGACGATCCAGAGGAGGTTAGTCGTCAGCATCACCACTCCGGGAAACCAGAAACTTTTCAAGGAATGGTCTGTCCTCGACATGAATTCTACTCTCATCTTCCGAATGCCTCATTATAGGTCTGGCTAAACTCTCGATGGGTATTATCTTACCATGGGATGGTTCTAACGTAAAGGCAATCGATATTTTTGCTGAGCAACTACCAGTATGTAGTAAAACAAAATGTAGTGCTCAGTACATTTTTTTACTCAAAAAAACACAACACCTTAATTTGCTGAGAAAACTTTTAATGAAAAGCTAACGTTTTCAGCCAACTCTATTGGCCATCATCAGGCTAAGCTNCGCGTCATACGGATCTAGATTTCTACCTATTAAACATTCAATAAATACTTTAAAATAGTTTAATTTGTTTATTTACCTTCGCTTGTAAACCTCGATTTTAAATGTATCTGCCATTTTTTCAACAAATTTCCCGTGAGTCAATGCGCGACGTTCACTGAGTCACCGGATGTTGTAAACGTGCGGCGCAAGGTTAATAAGGGTAAGGGCGCAAGGCAAGGCATATAATAATTATTTATACCATTTCGTGGTATAAATAATAAGTTCATATCAATAATAAATTCCTAAAAAAAATAAAAATAATTTATTGTTAATTTAAAATCATCGCTAGGGCGCCTCTAGTGCCCGTTTTTGGCATACCGTTACGCGGACGGACGGACACGCGTTCAGTGGGTTATATAGATAGATACTTTTTAAATCTTTTATGTTAGTATTTTTTATGTTACAATTGTTATGCGAATTTTCATGGTAATTTTTTATTTCGTATTTGTAAAAAATCAACAAATCATCGAACTGATTGATTTTTCTCCATATTTCACAGGGGTAAGCATAAGAATGAGATTCTGAAGCAATAGTTACTGCGGATAGTCTGGTGCAAACTAGTCTCCTTCGACGTCATTCATATCCAAACAAATATGCCTGAAATAGTAGCGATCGCTCAATTTCAGTTCCAGTAGTGGGCTCAAGAGCAGTGATTTTTACAAAATGCAATCGTTCGATAAAAAGCAAATTCAACTACTGTAGTTGAATATTTTCGCTAGATGACTAACAATGCTGATGTACAGTACTGTTCAGTCCAGAATACGTCGAGAGAAGGACATCATGCTCTTAGTGAAAATAGATCTATTTTTGTCTTTTAAAATTAAATTAGCTTTATCATTTTTATAGCTTTTCGAACTGTAGACGTATATTATGTAACAAAACCACTTAAGAGGCAGAAGTATCTTCCAGAAGTTCTTTAACTAAATTATTCATACTTTTCCGTTCCTGTCGATAGCAAATCCAATTTCTGTCAGGTCCTCGCTTCCTTTTATCAATTAAATTATTGCCAACAAGAGAACGAACGTATAGTGGCAGTCAAAGTTAAAAGCAGAAGATTGTCGTTACTGAACTTACTGAATTGTCGTTAAAAATCTGTTTTCGCTCACGTTACTGAACTCTAGTTAAGCTCTAAAAGTCATTTTCTCCCTGGACTTTAACTAATCGATGCAAACTTTATTATACTAATTAGTAAACGTGCATTTTGAACATCTGCTCCAGATATTCAATTGGCTAAAAGTTAAACAAAATCGAAGAAACGATATCAAGCGTGAATAAGAGTCTTCGTCGTTTTTATCGTCGTCAATTATCTTTAGTTTCTTCGTCTTCACCAGGGGTCGCCAAAGTGGTCGATATGGACCCCAGGGGTCGATGCGGCTAAGGGGTCACAATTTTTTTTTTTTTTTGCTTAGAGCGAGACCACAACCCACAACGTTTTTTTTCGCTCATACATATACACTTGTAATAAAACTTTACGGTGGGGGTCAATGTGAGGCTTTGGAAAGTGACTGGGGGTCGACGGTTAAAAAAGTTTGGCGACCCCTGGTCTTGACGAATATCTTTTTATCCGTCGACAGGTGTGTAAAAATTTACAAAACAATCATTGTATGCGGACGAAACTATTCTATGCGCTCTCTTTCCTTATTTTGTAGAATGTTGCTATCTTCTGTCCTCTTACTCGCGTAAACCTCACGGTTCCACATACCGGTACATGATTTTGAATGTTGTCGGACGTTCAACCTTCATATTGTTGTCAGATCTTGGCAAATTCTTATATTGTAAATAACCACTCAGCTCAAAACTCGGTCAGTACAAACAAGTGAAGATAAATATCTGGAATCAATTTATTCTTGATCAATCATGAAGTTTCAAGTGAAGATAAATATCTGGAATCAATTTATTCTTGATCAATCATGAAGTTTCGGTTCTTTAATGAGCTAAGCTAATGCTATCATCTGACTATCTAATAACTCTATAAGAAAGAGATGGCATTATCTACTCACTATAATAACGTCTACTGAAATAATCTTTTGTCTTCATGATGCATAGTTTTCTTAAAAATCTGTTTTCGCTCACTTTATGCGTTTAGATTATAAAATTCACACATTGTAATTGATACGTGCGATAACGATTTGTAAAGCCCATGCAAATTTTATAAGTCTAAAATTAAAAAATCTATATTCGATGGTGAAAAAAACCAATTTAAATTACAGCATGCGAGGACATAAATCGTCTTTTATTTAAACTGAATCTTTTACTGTCATATAATAGATATTTATAATGGGTTATCACACACTGAAACTTTCATATAGCTAATTTATTAAATAAATATTCATAACTTTATGCAGCCTCACCTAAATTGGTATAGGCCTATATACAATATATTATTCATTATGCGTTAAATCTATCGAAACAATTTAGATGGGTCAGAATAAAGTCATGAATATTTATCTTGAATTACATAGCCTATATGAAAATTTTATTGTGTGATTACTCTTTATAAATATCTATTACTGTATATGATAGTAAAACATTGAACATAACTTAATAGGGGATTAGAAGCTTATCCACTTCTAATTAATATAAAAAGCTGTAATTTTGATGACATACCTAAGACCGATGACACCCTCTAAAACAACATTTTAATGTTGTTTTAGAGGGTGACCCAACCCCACAATTCTCTCCACTCAAAAACCCTATAAACACAACTGTGAGGGACGAAGGGGCCCTCAATAAAGTGTTATTTTAAAATTCAATCGTCTGATTTAGGTTAAAATCCATAAAAATTATTTCCCACGGACTTGGTTCCTTGTTGAGGATGATCCATCTGGTCATTAGTGCGTCACCCGGAACTTTCGATAATTTTCAAGTATTAGACGCCAGATCCTTAACAACAAACTTTTGACCTCATGGAAAAAACCCAGAAGGAACCCAAATAACAAGGGAGAGCGATGACAAATCCAGTCAATCGTCCTTCAAAGTTCGCCTCCTCAAGAGTTTATACCATGCAAAATACCGTGCATCCACCGACCTTATCATAAGGATATATTACACACCTAAGTGCCTCAACACAAGTCGGATACCTCCCTCCGAAGTTGCTCCTGTTACCTGAATACTCTAAATATCAAGAACATTCCATCGAACACCCCAAGAATCCCGACGGTGAATCAATCAGTCATCAATTCCTTGACTTCTTATAAGGTATTTATCCACACGCGAATATCCTGTAAACTCTCTCTCTCGCGACAGTTAGATTCGATAATCTAGGGATATATATATCAATCCAAGATGTCTATGATCATATATCGTGTACTCCAGCCCGCTAAAATAAATTTGTTATTGTTTATTAATCTGGAATCCGAGTGAATCACTTCCTCGTTTCTCTCTCCTCACCATGGGCGTAGCCAGAGTTTTGTTATTGGGGCCTAGTAGAGGCCAACCTGACACAAAATTGAATTATTTCAAATTATTGTTCATTAAAATGAAAATTCCATGATAATCGGCGATAACTTTACACACATGAAATATGAAACTTCCTTTAATCATAACATTGGGCACAGGGGGAGCCGTTGAGCGTTTTTTTTTTTTTTTTTACTATTCAAAATTTTTAGCTCTAAGGTTTTCGTTCTTTTTGCAAATCGACTCAACACTTTTTCGGCTGTGATTTTCTGGGGTCACCAGGTTCACTGGAGGAGACCGTGCCCACCCAGGCCCCCCTCGCTACGCCCATGCTCCTCACCTCTACTCCGAATCCAACCGCTTACCCGCAACTGTTCGCGTGACGTAAAGTCGCGATTTCCGAGTCCTGAGAGACTCGGTGGTGTCACATCCTGACGCGGTGTCAAAGAGACACCGACCCTACGGTCACACAACGAAATATAGTAGTATTGATTTATATGGTGGAGATGGTCTCACCTTCGCCATCCCTTCATCTCAATTTCGAAAACCGTGACAAATGAAAGTGTTTTTTAAAAATTATTACTAATTTATTTCTTTATTAAAAAATAATAAATAAATAATTCTTAATTACATATATATGCTATTAAATTAATATTCTAGAATCGTAAATATCGAATTGTTATTACTTCGATAATTCGAATAATTCGTTATGTTCGAAGAATTTTTCAAATTTAAATTCGTTTTTAAAATAAATATATTAAATGAACAGCTTAAAATGAGCAATTTTATTTAAGATTCTATAGAAATTTTCTAAGGATTAATTTTTACAACTTGTAAGTTTTAGTTAACAAATGAAAATTAATTAATTAATAAGTATTAATATATTTAATAATTTAATTGAATTTAATTATTAGTTATATATGAGGCACAACTAAGTACCTTAATACAATTATAATTAATATTAATTAATGTTAGCATATTAAATTAATTAGTGTTATAGTACTTTACACATCAGATTATTTTACAAAATACTGTGATAGATATTTAGAGACTCCGAAAAATCGTCTAAAACTAAAAAGTTCACCTTTTTAATGGCTTAAATTATTGGAAAATGACTATTGTTTAATCGTTTTTAATAACNATGGAGTCAGATAATCTATTTTTTACCGTATTGTACTATTCATTAGAAGTCTAATAATTTCCCAACGATATAAATTTAAATAATAATAAAAGCCTAAAAGAAATAATTTTGTTGAATTATGATAAATTTGACTCTATTCCAAAAAGAATGTTTAAGTTTAAAAAACAAAATCAGGCTCAAAGTTAAAATTATACGTGGCGCCATCTGTTATGAAACTTACTAACAAACTATTTTTTTTATATTATTATAAAAGGCAACAGTATTACTTTTTAAAGCGGATGAACATGTTGACGATCATCCGCCTTAATTTTGCCGCTCGTGTTCCTCAGCCTTTAGTGTTTTTAAACCTTTAATATTTTTTTTTTTTTGAAAAATACAGAAATTTATATAATTCAACAAAATTACTTCTTTTAAGCTTTTATTGTTTAAATTTTATATCGTAATATAAATTAATTTAAAAATTATCGTATTTAATTCCCGATCCGTTTGAATGTCTGTAAGTAAAATCGTGACAGGGCTCTTATCAGCATTGTTTCTTTATATATCTTGGAATTAACAATACGTTTTAAGATTAGATTATAAAATTATTTTTATTTGTACAAAGCTAATAATTATCACATTTAAATGATATCACGAATTTCTTCAAAATTTTGTAATTTATGGAGAATGTTGATAACCGTTACTTGATAGTTGACGAATACAGATTAAATAACTTTTCTATAATTTTTTTTCAGATGGAAAGGAAAATTCTCTTTCGAAGAAAAATATGAAATTCTTAAAGTTAATTATGGTAATTTTTTTCACGAGTTTATGTCTAAACATCGTTCCGTTTTTATTGGAATGGCATCTTAATATCGGATTTGGTAAATAATTCTAAAAGTTCATTGTTTTCATTCTCGATAAATTCCGAAAAAAAAATATCTGAAGAAAAATTGTTTGATTAATTTTTATATAATGTATACTTTTATAGTTTTAACGTCACTTTTTAGAAACTTTTATTAAGGATTCATCCATAAACAAGTTGTCTCGATTTAGGAATGGAAGGGATATTAGAAAAGACCACAAAGACCACGTAAGAATAGGGGTGCGGAAAGATTAAAAACAAAGTGATTATGATTATTTTAATAAAACATAGGACGTCGCGCGACTTTGTCGTATCGCGATAGAATTGAGGCAGAGCCGTAAAGAAAAAAGCGATCTTTGTATGGTACGTAAGGCTGCGTTTCTTTATGCAGCGAGAGTGCAGCGTAAATGACGTCACGAGCAGCTATCGCTACACGTCGCTGCATCATAGTTCAGAAACGCTTTCCGCTCGAGCGAAACATGGACGTTCATAATCTATCCTTTAATTCCAGTTACAGCCGAAAATAGTGCTTTAGTTAAAGAACTACAATATTTAAATAAAGAGATATAAAGAATCGAGCATTTATCTTTCCATAAATGTGAACAAAGTAAAGAGATAAAAGATATATAATTATATTTAAAATATAGTATTTTCTTATTCTTTAGATAACTTTCAGAGTCATTTCATAAAATTTAATCCTTCTTAATCTTTCCATAATATTTTTATCAACAGTCACTTCGACTTTTTTATTTTTACAGCATAATATCGTATTATACACACAAGCGTCCATTTTGCTTTACACGTGTAGCGGACGTAAAAGCTGCTTTATCTTCGCTGCAGCGACGTCTTGCAGCAAACGGTTCGCTACATTGCAGCGTTGCATTTAGAAACGGGTTTCAGAGGGTTCGCTGTAAAGCGCTTCTCGAGCGCTGCATAAAGAAACGCGGCCTAATGGTCACGGACAGGAGAACTTTGCACTTGCCTGCACAAAACAGGTATCCTTGTACCTATATATGTGGCTAGAGCATTTGTTATTAGGGTTAAATATGGAGCTTTTTGAATAAGTCTTTCATTAGTCTATTACAAATTTAAAAATTGTAAAATATTTTTTTATTAATACAATGCATATTATATTTCATAATATAATTTTTCATATTCGTGTGTGACAGTTTTCTACGAATTTATTAGTTAGCCCATTTTGGAATTATGGCGCCTTATCATCTTATCATCTGTATGTACTGTACTGTATATCACACTACAAAGAGGTCCGCAACTTTTTAAATTGAAATTAGTAATATTTTATCAAGAATCATTACGCAACTCTCGATAAAATATTACTAATTGCAATTAAAATATTACCTGGGGCGGAATCACTATCGCCAAGTAAAAATATCACTGACTGACTATATATAGGAATCAGAGTTGCCGATTTCGGGGCCAATTTCTCCGCCCCAAACGCTTATAGCAATTCTGAATATCTTCAATAAAAAATATTCTAAAAAGAATCGATGGAGTCAGATAATCTATTTTTTACCGTATTGTACTATTCATTAGTACACGGAAAACTACTAGTTTTCCATTCGTTTCTGACTTTTGGAGGCTTAATAAATCCCGAGTCTGTAGACTGGTATAAAAAAGTAAGAAAAGGTAAACAGGTTAACAAAGAAAAATACTTTTATTTTTATATAAATATACTTCACCCCAAATGCATTTCGCCTGTCAAGGCCTTTTCAGTAGGGTTTCTGACGACTAGAATGTACAATAGGAACAGCAAAAGATATTTCAGACGACACATTTTTTTCCGTCGTAGACACAGCAGAAAACATTTCAACATCAACGAAAGACACATCTTTCTCACTGATACCATTGCGTTTACAATCCTTAAATAACACCAACTCTTCCCAGCATTCCGCTGGCATATCTTGTTAAAAAGATAATTGTTGGATAGAAACGTTTCCAACAAGATATTCAGATATCTTGTTGGAAAGATAATTGTTTTCTTAGGCAATATGCAAAATTTCCGCTTTTTAAATTGACGGGTTGCATAAATATAAGCAATTCAAAAGTGAAAAACTCTCTAAAACCTGTATTTCTGCTTTTATTCATCCGGCACTGCACACGCTCCTAGAGAAAAACTACTGTCTCTATAAAGCTCAAATTTTAAGCTTAAGCATTTCTCGTTGTCAGTGAGGTGCTCGCCTAACTTCCCGGTCGATAGGTCAAAGTTCAGGCCAGATGGCCGTGCGGTCAAGGTGGCAGCCTACCGCTCTGGGGAACAGAGCGGTAGGCTGAACGGGTCGAAAAATCCCCAGGAATTTTTCGGGGTGGTCCGTCCGGATATGTCGACCCCTATTCCTCACCACCCGGCCTCCCGATTGTGGGTCTGGCCGAACCCATAATGGGCTTGCAAAAAAGAGGCGCTCTTAGTGCTTACAGGGCGGAAAGAGTAAAAAGAAGAAGAAAAAAACTCGTTAAGCGTAACAATTTTTCCCATATAAATTAATGTAAAATACAATAATGTGTTCCATGCCAAAAAATACTGAAATATTTTATGTATAAAGTTTATTCAATAATAATTATACAATATACATTGTTAAGGAGCGTGAATCATCATCATCTTTTCTTCTAGCGCGGAATGAACCAACCTGGAATGTGAATTCGATTTACAGAAAACAAAAAAACTCGAAATACAGTAATTTCTAATATTTAATTATAGTCTTTACATAGCCCAAGAATTTGACATACCGTTTGGCATGTTTATTATATATGGGTTATGTTTGTTGATGTTTATATGTAATATGTCTGAACACAAGTTTGGAAAAATGTGTGATCACAAGCGACACTAAGATGCTAAGGGAACGAGTGCTAGACATAGACTGATGTAGCATGCCCACAATCCGGGACTTCCCCGCTCCTTGTCACTGGTTATGAGAAACGTCACTCGTTAAGCGAGTTATTTTTTACACTTTGTTTTGTTCGTTATACGAATTACTCGTTATAAAAAGTGCTCGTTAAGCGAAGTTATACTGTATTTTACTTTTCTCGCTTAATTTTACAATTATAACAATAAAACTGCAACGAAACGAATGATTGTCATTCAAAATGTTATCAAGAATAAGAAAAGCCCAAATTCATGCTAATTAAATCTTTTTATAACAATTTTACTAAACGTCAATACTGAAAACGTTCGGTCGGTTGACGTTGCGGAGCGCCAATCAAACTGTATATCATGGTCTTAGTCTTTGGTAAATGCAAACATTAACCAAAAAGAATTGATATTCAAAGAAAAACATCTGAGATGTAAAAAAATCCTGCCAAATGAAAAATTATGACAATTTAGATAACATTCAAATTTTTTTCTTAGAAGTTTTTCTTTGGTAAAGATAAGCTTAGCGCTTCAAAGCGAAATAGAGAAAATAATAATAAAAATCTTGTGAGTGTCGCTTCGACATTTTTGTTTATCTAATCAAAAATCCAGCAACGAGTTGCTTAACATTCCTTGTTATAAGATTTTATTTTAAAAAAAAATAAGTTTTGCAATATAATTTTAATTATACTAAATAAAAGTATACGTGGCGCCATTTGTTATGAGATTGTATTATAAAAACTTTTTATATTTCTAATTATTATAAAATGGCACAAAGCTTAACTTTGAGGGGAGAGATGAGTTTTATTTTAAAAAAAACTGTAAATGCTAACAAGAAAAAACTTCATCAAATCCGATCTGTCTCCAGATATGATACGTGACACCACCCTCTATCTCCCTACTCCCTTGACTTTTAACCACCAAAATTTAATAGCATTTATTCATTTTTGAAATGTATGACTTAATAAATTTTGAACCATATAACTTATAAAATAATAATTAGAAACGATTTAAAAAAATAAACTTATTTATATCAATTTAATTTGTTTAGATAACAAAAGTACTTCATTGAATATGAAGACTGGAATAATGAGGATTTTACAAGAGAAAAATTTATTTACTATATTTGATAAATTTATTTCAATATTAAATCTGTTGAAAATGAAATTATTGATATATAAAAATGAAAAGAATTTAATCAAAAATTATAAATCAATATCAAAATTAATTAGAAGAAATGTTAAATTATTACCTGTTTATGAAAAAGAAAACGTGACGAGGATATTGTTATTTGCCTACTTTCGAAGTGGGTCTACATTTTTAGGAGATACTCTACAAAGAAGCCGAAGAACCTTCTATCACTTCGAACCTCTACATTTGATCTCGTTCAACTCAAGAATCGATCGCAACCAAACGTCAGATGCTTTCAGACTTTTAAGTCATCTCTTTCGCTGTAATTTTAATCTAACAAAACGTTACAATCGATGGGCATCCTTACGAAAAAACAGATTCTTATTTAAAAGAAACAGATTCCTGTGGTCTACCTGCCGTAAATACTCACGTTCGTGCTTTAACTCTAGATACCTTCACAATATTTGTATTCGATCTCCTGTTCAAATTATGAAAGTTTTGAGACTTCAGCTGAAAGACGTTTTAATTTTTCTTCAAGGAAACCGTGACTTAAATATTAAGTTAATTTATTTGAGTCGTGATCCGAGAGCCATCATGAGTTCTCGTAAAGAATTACATTGGTGTCAACGTGATAAATGTAACAACCCCGTTGTTCTATGTGAAGAAATGAAAAACGATGTGGAAGAATTGCGAGTTGCAAACATATCTTATCTGTGGATACGATACGAAGATTTATCATTGAACACAGTCAACGTTTCTAGAAATCTCTTGAAACGGCTATCTCTTCCCTTCTCCAGGCTACTAGAATCATATTTGTTGTCTCACGTGAGGTCCAAATTAATCGATGAGAAAAATCCTTATTCCACTCGTAGAAACTCGTCGACTGTACCTTATAAATGGTTGAAAAGTTTGACCTTTCCAGAAATTAACAATATTCAAACGAAATGCTTCGAAGCAATGAATATCTTTGGTTATGTAATTATTAATAAGTCCGCGTATTTTGATTACAAAAAACAGAACGTTCAATTAAAGAAAAAACTCTTATATCCGAGTATAGAAGGATTGCCGTTTAGAAGTTAAATTAGCATTTCAAAATATAAACGAAATTGTTTCGAAAATTGAACGTTTATGAGAACGAATTAGCCTAATGTTTAAAACTAAACGATCCGAAAGAGAGAATGATTAAGCGCAATGAAAGACAAATATATATAGTCCTATACATATATAGGCCTACTAATTTGTAGAAACATTGAAGTTTATATGTAATTTATGTATTTATAAAGTTCATAAATATTCATATTTATAAAGTTCATATAATAAAGTTCATATGTATAAAGTTCATATAAAATCAGTCCTTTAAAAGAATTTGAATTTATGAGAGTAATTTACTTTTAAATGTAATAAACTAAACATAAAATGTTATGTATGTTTATAACATTTAAAAATCAATTTTAATTAATTATATACACGTGTATATAATTAATTAAAACAGATCCAAGTGCATTCCACTTGTATCTGTGAATTAGTTGTATGTCACTATCGAAATTATTTTACAATTATCAGAACACCAAAACAAAAAACAAATTGACTCTTATTGGTCACTGTCGATATAAGAGAGCGTGCATAAAACATTTACAGGTTGGTAAAGTTAGGAAATCAGTAAATGACGTCCATTACCTATAATTTGAAATGAAATGAAAATTTTACTGGTCACGTGTAAGGAAAGGCGTTGGTAAGTTTTGCGGAAACCTCAGAAATTTCAAACAATATAATGAAATGCGCAGACGATAAAAATTCTTGGTTCTTCCTCTATCTATGAAAACTTAGAAATTACTTTTGATAGAAATTACTTATTCTGTACTTATTTCGGGGAAAGATGAACGTGACATCATTCTCCAAATACGATGTTCGCAGATCGCTTAGAATGAAGTCATAAACGTCATATTCGTTGTCACAGCTTCTGTTAGGATTCCACAGAATCTTATATATGTTACCGCTAAAGCTCGAAACGCTGTTAATCTGCAGATTAGCTAGGTAATGTACACATTACCTAGCTAATCTGCAGATTAACTAGGGTGATCCGTTAAAGCTGCGAAAATTATTCAATTTCTCAAATTACCTAGGTAATTTGCAGAGTATCTAGGTAATCTGCACATTAACGGCTTCCGTATCGTTAAAGTTCAAAAGTTTGTTTCTTTCACTTCCTTTCCCCACTCCTTCTTTTTACGTAGATAAATTTAAATCCTAGAATGCAAGCAAGCACCGAATTGGTGAGTAAAATCAAGAAAAGATTCTTNAGATGCATTTAACTTCTGTTTGCTGAATATAGTTTTTATTTGTTTTGTTATTTCTTTTATATATAACTAAAATATCTAATATAAACACTAGAGAAATCATTCATATCTGCATATCAAACAAACAAGTTTAGATTATGGTTATTATTATCATTCATCAATACTGTTTGTCACCACTAATATATTTCAATTGAACATCAATTAAATCAATTTTAATATTAATATCCATACTTAAACAGAAAAGCTAGCTTTAGTGTATATAAGTACAATCGAACCTCTGAACAACAGCCACTGATGGAAACATAAAAAGCAGCTGTTGTTCAGAGGTTATTCTGTATGCATTTTTATTCAAAAAAATTTCTGAAAAATGGCCACTGTTTATAAAAGTGACTATTGTTGAAAGTGAACTGTATCAGAAAAAACAAAAGTGAAAAGTGAAAAATAAATATCTTGTTAAAAGATACAAGATTAATATGAGGAGTATTCATAAAGTAAAGATATGAAGCCCAAAAAATATTTCTAGAGTATTTCACTTTTAGGTTGACTTATAATAATTTTAGAACATACATTTATTTATTTTTTGACATATCTCAATATATTTGGAGCCTGGAAATGAGTTTCTTGATGCTGACCTTGTAGAAATTTCCCATCTGCTTTCATAATTATGTCATCATTGCATCTTGAACCTTGTCATAGTTATCATCAAACTACTTTCTAGAATGTGATTCTCAAGTGTGCTGTGGCATTTTAGTGTACCGTGAAATTTATGAAGTGTGCCGCCACTGCGAATACTCATACATAGGCAACGTCAGACAAGTAGTTCAATTGGTTCTACCTTCCTAGGGCACATTTGGAAATTGTAACTGGTGTTACCAGTAACTGCCTGTAGTTACCAGGGCTGTGGAGTCGGAGTTGGAGTCGTGGAGTTTTGGTGTTTTAGCCGGAGTCGGTAAATTTTTACGCAACTCCACAGCCCTGGCAAGACCGTGGAGTCGGAGATGCGGAGTTTTGGTGTTTTAGCCGGAGTTGGAGTCGGATTGGTAAGGAAAAGTTGGAGTCGGAGTCGGAGTCGGTAGATTTTTACGCGACTCTACAGCCCTGGTAGTTACCAAGGCATTTAGAAAATGTGACGTAAATAACCAATTGTGTTTAAAAATCACTGTTATGACATCACTGGTTGTCCTGTGACACTTACCGAAGTAACCATGTGTGCCACCAAATTTTTAAATTATTAAAGATTATGTGATGAAAAAAACGTTGAGAATCACTGTTCTAGAGAGACAGATGTTCTTTCAACTTGAAAAACAAGTAATAATCACTTGTTACAGGATATGGGCTGTGCAATTGATGTTCCAAAACTTTCCACTTGAATGTCTGCAACAATTCTTGAGCGATGCAAGCAGTGTGTGTGAATGGGTATTATCGTGCAGTACGACATCATTTTGTCATGTTTTGCATGTTTGTAACATCTTTTCGTTGGAAACAAGTTACAAATAAATATCACAGTGGCAGTTTCTCCTTTTGCACAAAGGAATCACCGAACAAACCTAGTACTTGGTGGCAGTGGCGGCCTTAGGGGGTGGCGAGCAGGACAATCGCCCGGGGCCTCGCTCTTGGAGGGGCCTCGCGCAACAACCAAGTAGAAAAAAGTTGATATTTAAAACTTTTTATTTTATCCTTGGCTATTAGTTATAACAATAAAATAAATTTAATTTATAGTACAGTATATATTAATATTAATAAGTGCCTACTATTTTAATTCACATACTTTGCACAAAGGACAAGGGCCTCGCAAAGATCTGCCGCCCAGAGCCTCGCAATGGATAAGGCCGCTGCTGTATATAGTAGAAATGGCTAAAAAAGTGCGCAAAATACGTACGGAAATATGGTATTACAGCCCCACCTGTATTGGACGACCACCTGTCTAAAAGACTACTTTTTGAAGGAACCGTCGGTGGTCGCCATAAACAGGTTTTACTGTATATAAATTGTGAATGGCAAGTAATCAAAAACATTTTATTTATTACTACTGTACATTCATGAGAGTAATATGACTTCATGTTTCACTTCCGTTTCCACATACAAAGGAATAATGCACTCTGTTCGCTGATTCCATTTCTATAGATTGATAGATGTACTGTACTGTAGCAAAGTTGATGGATATATTGGTCATTCAACTGAGTTTTAAAATAAAGTTTATGTATCAATTAGCTGATAGCTGTCGCTCGAGTCCCTTTGCAGCAAGAAGCTGTTTTATCCATTCGATTGGTAAATAGTTTTTCTGTTTTCAAGTACTTCTTACAGCTTTTAAGTGTTTCGAGCTTGAAGTCATATTACTCTTTTTTTACGGTTCTGACAAAAAAAATCGTATAAAATTAAAAAATGTAATTACTAATATCATGTATAAAGAAAGAAAACGTACTTACATTTGATTTTTAGAAAAGTTTAATAAGGTATATACACTAATACCCCGAACTTACGCGATAGGTGGGACCGAGCGGTAACCGCGTAAGTCGAATTCGCAGTCGGGGTATAATTTCCCATATAAATACATACAAATAATTTTTAATTGGGGCCGGAGACTAAAGAAAACAATAATTTAGAAAAAAATGTTTAATAAAATCTTAGCTAATACATATGTATAACAAATTAGGCCTATATTATTTTACAATTTCTCACATTTACTTGATTATTACGCCATAATTTTAACACTGTTTCCACCTCAGCGATAATACTGTGACGTTTACGGATGATGCTTGAATTTAAAGATTGAGCATTTTTCACAGCTTCGAGAATTTTTTCTTTGCCTTTTATAATTGTTCTGACCGACAATTCCGGTAGATAAAACTTCTTTGCCAATTCACAAATTTTCATTTTTGTATTGAAGTCTTTAATAATAGGTACGTTCGTAAATTCAAACGAGTTAAACGCGTTAGTAACGAATCGTTCGAAAAGTCTAATGAAATAGGAATAACGATGACGTCATTCTCGTTTAACTCGTTCGACTTTACGAGCATACCCAATGTTAACTTTACATTCCAAAGATAAAGTTTTTCTTTTCTTGTTTGATGCAGAAGAATTAGTTCTACTTCGTTTGGATGACATAGTAGAGTCCCTCTAGTCTCCGTAGATGTAACAAACACAGAAATAAATACTGTAACACAAAATAAATTGTAGCTATGTGTGGATTCCGCGCGACAAATCCGAACATGTAAGCTGAACAATAGTGTGGGTGTAGTGAGTAATCAAGGGTTGCGTGGCGCTCAAACAAAAGACGAATCGACGAGATTTGAAAATCGCGTAACTCCGGGTTCGCATAAGTCGGGGTATTACTGTATAGTATTTGAAATTACAGATGAGAATTTGGATAAATTAAATCAGTGTTTGTCAACGGGGGCGATATCGCCCCCATGTGGGTGTTTTTCCATGTTGAGAGGGCGATCAGTAACAATTTATATTTTGGGGAGCGAAAAACAATTTTCTGAGCGATATAGTAAAACATTATATTAAGAATAATTAGATACTGTATTTTATTCGTTATATCGTACAATAATTAAACAAATAACATTATACTAGTCACTAGTCTATTCAATGCAGTACGAATTTGGCGTTAGCCTTGGTCCTGGGCGTCGGAATTTTGAAGTGATGGGGCGCTACTACGTAACGGTTTTATTGAAAAGGGCGATACTACGTTGAAGGGGGCGACGATTCGTTAGAGGTTGAGAAACACTGAATTAAATCGAAAATAAAATTATTTTTTAAATATTTTTGTTTAAAACTGTTTTATTGTTAAATATTGTGTACGTAAGTTTTGTACACAATGTTCTATTTCTGTATATAGTGTATCTGTATAATAAATTTGCATTTTTGTATTTGATTACATATATGTGACAATATAATTGTGAAAATCATATTTTCACAATTATATTTATCCTCTGATGTATTTAAACAGATATAGAAATTTAACCCAGATAAAGGCAAACTTTATTTTTAATTTTAGTTATTATACTGAGTGATCAGTATATCTGTCGACTATTCTAAACAGTTCCAAAGAACTGTTTAGAGAGTTCCAAATCTATTGTTGAAACGCAGAACGCAGTTATGAGGAACCGTTTCAACAATAGATTAAACTAGAGGTTCCACTTCCGGAACTCTACGTCTAGTTCAGGCTATGGGTCGTTCTGTCTCTGGTCGAGACACAGGTTAGCTTTATAGCCTAACGAGCAGGATACAATTTCTATTGAATTAGATTATTTTCGTTAGATTTTTTAACGTTTGTAATTCATGTCTCGTGCTAAAACAGTTCCATTTTTTTAAGTCCTAAAGTTGTCTGTAAATTAAGTTGTTCTAAACTTCTAATTTTACTTATTTTATTGTAATAGGACAATCTTCAGTAATTGTCTAGAAACAATACTCAGGGCCGTCGCAAGCGGGCGTACAAGACGTGCACCGCGCGTGGGCGCCATCGTCAAGGGAACCCAAAACATTCTTAATAAAGTGCTTGATTTCAATTACGAAATGACAAAAAAAAAAAAAAAATGATTGTTACGTTCAAAAGCAAAATTTTGAACGGCCCAAATATTAACGCTTGCATTACATATTTATATCGATTTATAGTATTGCACGATCAAGCGTGTGCGAATGGCGCTGATGATGAGTTTCTTGTCCAGCGAAAAATCAACTTGTATAGACTAGTATAGAATAACTTTGATACGTTCAATTGTTCAAACCAACCAAACTCAATTCGAAAGAGTTTAGATGCTGATCAAAAAGATAGGATATCATGATATATTCGAATTAATTCGTAAGGGGCACAAAAAATAGAATTTTCTCGCGGGCGACAGATACTGCGACTGAGTTGCAAGTAAAGCTATTCTTTTCAGGATTGCTACATTGTTGACATCGAGATAATGTTAATATACATTTATATTTAATATCAACATAAATCTTATTATACGTGTAAGCCAGCGTTTCTCAAAGTGGGCGATAACGCCCCCTTGTAGGCGCTAGAGGCTTTCAGGGGGCAGTAGAAGGCTCAAAGAGAATTAGGGGGCGTTAAGGAAATATAGAGGGGCGACGGCAGACAAATTCTATATATAAAAATTCGACGGAATATATATAAAATGTTGACATTTTATATATTTTTTATTTTTTATTGAAGGTCACAACTTGAATATTTCTAACACATTGACTTTTATTTTATCTCAGCGTTTCTCAAAGTAAGCAATAACGCCCCCTTCTGGGCGATGAATAGATCTAGAAGGCGCTGGAGGCAGGGTATTGAACGGTGACCAAAGGCAAAATTGGGGCTGATAAGAGGAAACATTGCGTTTAATGGTTTCCAGATGATGAGAACAATGTACAGTAAGGGCACAAAGTGTGAGATTCATAGAAAAGTTTTCCTAAGAATATTTCCAATCCTTTTCTCACACAAGAGAAAATGGTTTAGGGGGCGTTGGGTATAACTTTATGGAACAAAGGGGACGGTGGATCGAAAAAGTTTGAGAATCACTGTTCTAAACAATGTCCGGCTGTAATTTTTAAGTTTATTTCACGGATATTTTCTCTTGTTTTATTTTTATTCTTTTTGGCCTGTGGACAATTAAGTCTTTCCTCATGCCCATTATGGGTTGCCAGGATCCCATTATTTCACAATGGAAGCATGACCAATGAGAAATGAGAGGACAGACATCTCCTCCAAGTCCTCCCGGAAGGCACTCTTTCCCCTTTCTTGCATTGGTCATCTCTTGTAAGGCCGGCTTTGGTCGCCTTGTAACCTCTCGCCTGTCTTCCTTGGATTGGTCGTCTTCGATAAGGCCGCCTCTTCAGTCGCAGAGCGATCTTCCCCTCTGTTCTTCCGGAGTGACAGAGCGATCTTCCCCTCTGTTCTTCCGGAGTGACAGAGCGATCTTCCCCTCTGTTCTTCCGGAGTGACAGAGCGATCTTCCCCTCTATTCTTCTGGAGTGAAAAGCGACGGCTGAAACACTCCTCTATCGAGATTATAAATGAGATGAGAATGAGATGTGTTTACACGCCTCACGGAATAGCAGAATGCGATTCATAAACATGTAAAAGATTGATAAGTACTGAAAAGGTATAAATTAATTATAAAGACAAAATTTCAATTCTCTAAGGTTTTTATTTGAATATCGCAAATTTGTGTCATATTCAGAGTCGTAAGAAGGGAAAAATTTGGTCCAGCTCAAAAGTGGAGAGCGATTGCCAGGATTACGGCCATTTCATTTTCAATTCTTACCTAGTTATTTCAACTTTTTCAATTTCAAAATCTTTCTGGATAACTTATAGGGGAAGGGAGGGCAAGATGGAAGGGGTGGGCAAGATGGAAACTACTTACCCACTCCGAACCGCACGACGAAGCACCCAAATCTCCATGCACACAGAGACATTTGGATATCTTGTATTTATGAACGGCGACTCAGATCGGTTGGTGCCACGAAGTGACGTGTGCAAGTATTTCTTATTTCGCAGCAGATTATTATGCAATCATTGGACTTTTGTAGTGTTATTATTTATACCTACAAGGTAAGTATTACTATTTTGTTTTTATACAAAGTATCTACTAGGGATAGATTGCATGAATTGATATTTAAAGAGGGAAAAAATTCAAGGATTTTTAAAGAGTTGATATTATTATCGGCAACGGGAATTTGGGCAAGATGGAAAATTGCATTTTAGGGCAAGATGGAATAGTTTCCATGTAACAAACGCAATTATTTTGATTTCTGTTATCAATTTATCTAACTAATTGAGGATGTAATTGTTTCTAGATGGTGAATAAGTATATAAGAAAGAGCAACAGAGGTTCTTGGACTGAAGAAACTGCAGATGGCGATGGATGAAGGTTTTGTGTATTATGTGGAGAACCATATTTGGACCGCCCTCAGATGACTGGATACAGTGTCCAGTGTGTTGTGGTTGGGCACATGAACTATGCACAGACACAAAAGATGGATGTTTTTCGTGTGTCAATTGTAAAATGTACGGATATCCTAGGTATTCCATCTTGCCTTCAGCGTGAGGGCAAGATGGAATTTTTTACGTTTTTACTTCATGATTCCTAATAGGTTTTATGCTTAATATTAATTATTTTTAATTACACAGTTTTTCAACCATCTAAGATCTCTGTCGAGACTGATTAAAATAAAAGCTTTATACTATGTTGTTTTATGTTTTTTTACATCATAAAGTTAAACCTTCCATCCTGCCCTCCCTTCCCCTATATATTTCTAGCGGAGGGAGAAAGCAATACCTTAGGGATAACCTTTCTCGTATTGAAAGGTCTATTGGTTTGGTCTGACAGTGTTGCACGCTAGCTGTTGATTTGAAATTAGAATTGTATTAGTAACGTTCTCGACAAAAAGTAGTCCGGTCATGACGGAACCAGCTGGACCTGTTCCACGCCTCTATATTTTAAAATTATTTTACATTCACTCCTAGACATGAAATGTTTAAAGAGAAGCAAACACACAGGCAGTGACCGAATAACCTATGAAGTTAAAATTTCAAACTTTCATTTAAGGAGTTTAGTTCAACTGGTTCAATTCTGAATCGGAAATCTAAGGAATTTTTCGTGGATTGTATGAATCTGGTATGTAGAGCTCTGTCCCTCATCACCTAATCGCCTTTATTATAATGTTCCTTTTCGTGTCCACAAGGCGGAAAAACTGTTCAGTTTATTTTATGAATTTAAAAAATATTTTTAAAATTCATCTATTTCTAAATTCCAAGTCATCGATTCAAATAATAAAATATTTATTGTTGTTGGTTAAACAATTCATTATTTTATATTTCAAATGCTTTTGCATTTTAAATACTTAATATGTAGTTATGACACGACAGCATTTTATACGAGTGACGTCGCTATTAAAATTAGGAAAGATGACTAAAGAAAAAAAAATTAGAAAGAAAAAGTATGAAATTTTAAAATATGTTATCCATTGAATATCGTTTATACAATCGAACAATGATTACAAATAGAGCACAAAATTTCTTTCATTCTTTACAAAACTTTATGTAAATTAGTATGATGTCACTAGCGTGTACTGTTATGGGCGCTTTTTTAATACTCTTTCCGACCTATTGTGGGCCTGGCCGAACCCTTAATGAGCCTGCTATAAGAGGCCCATTATGGGTTCGGCCAGGCCCACAATAGGGCGACCGGGTGGTGAGGGACGGGGCCCGACATATCCGAACGGATCACCCCCCCGAAAAATTCTTGGGGATTCCTTGACCCGTCCGGATTCGACCCCGGGTCCCCCACAGCGGCAGTCTGCTACCTTGACCGCTCGGCCGTCTATACTGCTATGGGCTAACTGACTAGGTCAGCAGTGATTCAGTTTGGAAATGTTGCATTATAAGTTGTTAGAGTGTTGCTTGATGGTTTCACTTTTGCTTTGATTATTTCCAACGTTCACTTTGCAACGTTCTCCTCGAAAATTTTGTAAAACTAAAGAAAATATTTATACTGTAGTTTTTTTACATTCAATTTAAAAATAATTAATACTGTATTAAAACTTGTTTCTGTAATTGAAGATTAGTTTATGTCGACTAATTATATTTGACATTAGCATGAAAGAACTTACTTTTGGAACTTACGTTCCAAAGATTGTTTATTATAGTGTACTACTACATTTTTGTTAACACTCCACGAAATGTATTTTATATATCTTGTTAAAGTTTTAAGTTGACATAAGCGAAACAAAAACTCCTTCGTAAATTTGTTTGCATGTTTACTGTGCGTAACTCAATTAAAGTATGGTGTTTATAATAAGTTTTTATTTATATGATTTCTATAAAACATTTTTTAAAATTAATATTTATTTAATAAAATCGTACAGAATAGTGATAATGATATTTTAAGTACTAAGCCGGAAAAAACTGTGACTGATACATTGTTTAAAACTTTTTCACATCAAATTGTTTTCTTACAAATCAAAATGCATTTGATGCCTTACTCTATTCCAAAGATATAAAAATTAGCTCTAACGGTGCTACACAAACTTTTACTTAACTGGGGAGTATCCAGGTAGTACCTATGGTGCTACATTACCCCTTTATACAAAAGCAATTCAGTTTTGTTACTTTAAAACTAAACATATTAACGCATATCACACGACTTCGATTATGTAAGATTTGGTAACTAAAGTAATTAGGTAACATTGACCGAAAAACCTGCCTTGGTTTCCTTGATTTCTGCCTTGAGCAGCACCCATATTCTGAAAATCCTGGATATATCACTGGTTTAAATTAGCAGGGTTAAGCTTGTTGAAAGTGTTGATTCAAATTTAGTGAACAATAAGTTGAGTTTATCGGTACTTTTTATAATATTTTGTTTTGTGTGTTCTATACAGATCTATACAAAGGCACGTGTTGGAAATCTTGTCTTTAAGACTATACGAATACTATCGACATATTAATATAAGGCAGTTTTATTGAGATGTAAACTTTTTTGGCCGTTGTAATCAAAATATGTAGAATTATCAATTTCTTTGTATCCTAATTTATTCATGGTACCAGCGCATCTAATTTGGATATTATTAATTTCGCGATACGGTAACCGATGTAGCCACTCAAAGGGTGCCGTTGAAGAATTTCTTCTGGTCGAGTAAGGATCTTTGGTGTCTGATAATTTTGCATTCGTATGAGAATGCAAAAACGAAGTTACTTGATATGTAAAAGGAATACCTAGCCATTTGTAAAGATTTCTAGTTATATTTTCGGTATCTATAGATAAATCTTCGTATCGTATCCATTGATGGGGTATGTTTGATTTTTGCAATTCTTCAAAATCATTATCCATTTCTTTACACAGAATAGCTGGGTTATTGCACTTTTCTTTCTTACACCAATCTAAAACTTTTCGAGAACTAATGATCGCTCTTGGATCTCGACTCAAATATATCAGTTTTATGTTTAAATCGGAGTTTTCTTTCAGAAAAAGCAAAGCATCTTTAAGATGAAGTCTGGTAAGTTTCATAACTTGTACGGGAGATCTAGTACAAATATTATGCAAATATTGAGAATTGAAACATAAAACTGAGTATTTATTGCAAGTGGACCATAAAAATCTGTTTCTTTTAAACAGAAACATATGCTTTTGAAAAGATGCCCATCTATTATAACGAAAAGTCTGAGAAAAATTACAACGAAAAAGGTATGATAAAAGTTTGAATGCTTCGGACGATTGATTGTGATCGAGTCTGGAATTGGATGACATCAAATGCAAAGGTTCAAAGTGATAGAAAGTCTTCCAGTTTTGTTGTAAAATGTCTCCTAAAAATGTAGAACCTCCTCGAAAATACGTAATTAATAATATTCTCGTCACTTTCTCCTTTTTAATAATAGGAAATAATTTAAAATTGTTCAAGATTATTTGACGATATACGTTCCAGTTCTTTTTACTCATAGTTTTTAACTTAGTATGAGGAACTATATTCAAAATAGTCGATTTTTTGTTCGACGTCCCTATAGCTGGCAATGACTTTTTGTTAAATGCAGTTATGGATATGGTTGAAGACTTTGTAGCTGGTGGCATTAGTCTCGTCGAAGATTTTTTAATAACAACTGCTGTTTTGGTAGTCGACCGCGTTTTAATTAGTGGAGTTAAAGAGGATTTTGACTTTATCTGTTCTGTGGTTTGTAAAATTCTCAATGTTCCTTTTCTTGAATTGGACGGAGTAGATGAAATACCAACTGAAAAAGAAACCAGAAAATAGTAAGTATAATGAAGCATAACTTAAATATATGCTATATTGTGTTATTTTACTTTTAAAATGTAAAAAGTTTAAGAAATAAAGGAAGTAAATATAGTAAGCAGATTTTAAATGATACTCTGCAATGATAAAGCAAAATTATTGATAATTATTATAAATTAATGTTATCATCTGTATTAGTAAATCTAATCTTGAATTACCAATATCTTTCTCCCAGTGTTTTTCAACCATTTTCTAATAGATGATGTGATGCCTCTACTTCTTTTTTAATGGTGTTACTGCGCTTTTAGTACTTTTAGCTACTTTACTTTACTTTATTTAAAGAATAGAAGAGTTGTCTGTCATTTAGCGGCAGACTTTGCTCTATAGAGATGGAAAGAGAAGGTAAGGAAAAAGAGACCGAATGTGAAATAACGGGAGATAGGGGAGTGTGAAGGAAGACATGGAGAAGGGGAGTGGGGGGAGAAGCGGGGATTGTTAGAGAGTATAAAGTTTAGAAAGGAAGGTAAATTTGCGATCATCCAGCGACTTATACCGTATTTGTTTAGAATATAAATAGATATACAGAACAGGCGCCGTTTTGGCAGCCGATGATAACAATATACATACTGATAGATATGGTACATGTTGATACACTGATGGAACAGATGTAGATATACAAATCAGACGAGTAGAGATGTGCAAAGAGAATCCCGATGGGGGGTCCGGTAAAATGGTATTGGACAAGCCAAACAAACAAACAACTTTAACCATTAACTAGACATAGAATACCCTACAGCTGTTAGACACAATTCCAATAACACAGTCACAGGACGGCTAGAGCCACATGTGGTGGATTAGGGATGAACAACAGACCGAAGAGATTGAGAACACAGTAGAGGGCCCCTGCTAGGGGGGGACGGGTGGGTGACCCGGTAAGTGCTACAGTTGTTCACAAAGTTTTTGAGATGGTTAAAGGCGCCAACATTGCTGCATAGAAAGTCTAAGTTGGGGGGCCAATTTTGCCCATTAGTTAGGCAGAAGCCCATGAGTCCTTGGCGCTCCATATCGTGGTGAGGACAGTCTAGGAGAGTGTGCAGGGCGTCCCCAATAACAGAGTCATTGCAGTCACATTTGTCGTCTTCTCTTTTGCCAAACCGAGCGAGGTAGGCTGGGAAATTCCCATGCCCGGTGAGGCACTGCGTAAGATAATAGGAAGGGGTGATGTGCTTTAGGAGTTGACGACTCCTAACAGATGGCAGAAAATTGAAAGTAAGCCTTCCAGTTGTTGAATCAGTCCAATCCTTCTGCCACTCCTCGATGATCTGATTGTATAATAGTTTGTTAATGTAAGTGATGGGGACCTTCCCAAAGGAGGGGGTAACATGGAGGTTGGCAACCTTCCTGGCAAGGGCATCAGCCCTTTCGTTACCAGGAATTCCGCTGTGCCCGGGGGCCCAGACGAATTTGATTTTCCTACGTTTTTGTAGGTTAGTCGCTAGGTAGTAGACATTTGTGCCAGTGGAGGAGCGTTTGGCGGTACCAGCAATGACACTTAACACGTACCTGCTATCCGTAATGAAATAGATGCTTCCTGTATATTTTCGGAGGTTTTTAGTGATTTCTGTCAGAGCTTTAAACATAGCCCATAGCTCGGCTTGGTTATTTGAGCAGTGGGCTTCTAATTTATGATATTCTTCTTTGATGTATTTCTTGGTGTTGTTTTGGACTACAAAGGCCGCTCCTGTGCCGAGGTCGTTCTTAGCCCCGTCCGTAAAGATCCGCCAATTCGGGGTAGCAGATGGATCGTAAGTTTCAAGTGGCATTGCTAATGAGGCCCAGTCGGCCGGGTGGTGGATCTGCTCGGATTTCGATATGAGGTTATCTATCCCATATTTGTGCTTTAATTTCAGGATGTCTTTGCAATTATTTATGTAATCAGTACGGGCTTTATCCATTTTATTGATTATGGCTTCCGTGTTGGCTTCTTCGTTCTGAATGTTCCAGTTCCAGGTAAGGAGTTTGATTTTTAGGTGTATAGGAATAATATTAGCAATCACCAGTAAGGCGTCTGTAGGGGCCGTCCTGTATGCCCCACAGATCCTTATGGCAAAGTCCCTTTGAACAGAGAGGAGTTTCCTCTTTATATGCACCAGTTGGGCCCTGTCCCCCCATGCCTGGGCAGCGTAGAGCAGTGCAGGTTCGATGGCTCCCCTATAGATCAGTCTACAATGCTTGGGACCCAAGCCCCAAGTATTCCTTGCAATGTGTAGAAATAGGTTTGCCTTCTGCCTAGTTTTCCGGCATTTTTCCTCTATGTGGTCCTTCCAGCTTAGGGTTGGGTCGAGGGTGACACCAAGATAGTTAAGATGGGATGATACCTTGACTTTATGCTTGTCGATGTAAAGACACATAGGCCGTTGTAGCTGTTTCCGTTTATTCTTTCTGGTGCATGTTAGAGCAGTGCATTTTGTGTAATTGATAGGAAGTTTGTGGAGGGAGCTCCATTTACTAACCTCCTTAAGAGTGTCGTTGCCCATAGCTTGGAGAACATTGCAGTTTTGGTGCCTTAGCATTATCAGAGTATCGTCGGCGAAGCCTTGGATAGACGAATGCTCTGAGTTTGGGATGGTGGTTAGAAGGTCATCGTAAGCCAGGTTCCAAATACCTGGCCCACTGCGGGAGCCCTGGGGACATCCCCTATTGACTTCATTAATTATCTCAATGCCATTACTGAAGAAGCCTGCCTTCCGATCCGTAAGATAGTTATCCAGGAGGTGGTAGATGTTACTAGGACATTTGGAGTCTCTTAGCTTGATTTTGATCGAGGGCCACCACAGGTTATCAAAGGCTTTTCTGTAGTCTATACTTATAAGGAGGGCATGCTTGTCATGTTCCCAGGCCTCTTTAATGAAGGCAGTGACCCTTTTGATTGCTTTGATGGTGGAGCTACCCGGTCTAAAGCCGTATTGCCTGTCGTTCATTAGGTTATTTTTAGTTAGATGCCAGTTGATTCTGCCGATCAGTAGCCCATCTAGGACTTTTCCCAGTACTGGGAGAAGACTAATCGGCCTATAGTCTTTTTCATCCTTGGGATTTTCTACTTTATTAATGAATTTAATACTGGCCAGTTTCCACTGATCTGGAAAGTGGCCATTCCTTAAGCAGCCATTATACATGATGACAAAGGCTATTGGAATATCTTGGAAAGCCCTTTTGACCGTTTCCGCGGTAATCCCATCATGCCCAGGGGCTTTCTTGTTAGCAAGTGTTGTTATCGCCTTTTGGATTTCTGTAAAAGAGAACCACTTGTCTTCCTCACCAGTGTATGTACTGTTAATATTGTTTCTAATATCCTGATGGGTCCGTAGGTCGTCGGAGTTGTCATCTTTTGGGAAATGATAATTTAGCAGATTTTGGATGTTGCTGGTGATGTCGTAGTTACCTGAGGTGGACTGAGGTGTCGTTATGTTTGGTAGGGTTGCCCTTTTATTGCTCCTGAAGGCTATCTTATAGGGTTCCCCCCAAGGATCCATGTCAGGTTTACTGCAGAAGTTGCGCCAGGCTTTTGTACGTGTTTTATTAATGTTATTTTTATAGGCCTTGAGAGCGGTGGCATAGTCCTTACCTTTACTGCTCCTTCGTGTTGGGCTGGTCTCTCTTAACCATCTTCTCCTGAGCTTCCGAATTGACTTCTTTTCTGCCTCCAAATGATCGTTCCACCAGTGTGTAGTGTTGGTACGTTTCTTTAAGGTTGAAGAATTTTCCAGGGCTTTCTGTAAAGAGGTTGTAATGTGGTGGACATATCTGTCTACTTCATCCTTATTATTCAGGTCTTGGAAGTGATAGTTCCGCCAGGTACGGCCGAAGTGCGCACTGAACAGATCCCAGTTGGTGTGTTTCCTGTAATGGGGGACAACATTTCCGCTGTTTTGATGTGGGTGTTCAATTTCGGTGAGGATATACCTGTGGTCACTCGCTGAATCCTTAAGCAGAGTACTACAGCTTATTATCTGGTTTCCTATGCTTGTTGGGGCTAGACAGATATCTGTCCAACCTTTTGCTCTAGCTGTTTGGAAGGTTGGAAGATCAGAGGTATTCAATGAGATTGCGTCTATTTCATTGATGAGATCTTGCATTAGCCGACCTCTGGCATCCTCCTCCTCATGAAACCACAGGGAGGACTTGGCATTGCAATCACCGGCAATTATATAACTTTTACCCGTTAATTTGTGAGTGACACCACTGAGTTCTTTTATACATTCTTCATCGTCCTCGAAGGGGGAGAAATAGATGCCGATGATGAAATCCACCGGGCCCCTGTGCAAGGCCACTGTAGTAATCCTATTGGTACTCAAATCTGGTACTAGCACCGCATTAATGTCAGCATTCCGTATAAGTATCCCACATTTTGCTCTATTATTGTCTGTCCTAGTGTTAAACACCTTCCAGGAGCCGAAGCGTACTATTTCATTTTTAACCGTATATGGTTCCTGGATGAGGATAAGATCTATATCCAGGTCGTTGGCAGTCTTGACAAGCAAAGAGCATGCTGCTTGGCTCTTCTGTGTGTTGATTTGTAGGATCTTACAACTTCGATTAGCCATTATTTGGGCTGGAGCAGAACAGTGAGTCGGAACGTTGTTGATATTATTGTTGTTCATATATGGTTTGTTTGACCAGGAATTTTTTATAATTTTTCAGTATTGGGCATGCAAAAGAGAAGGCATTATGGTCGGTGCGAAACCTGTGTCCCTCCTGATCCTTCTTATTCGCCTTGTTACAGTTGAAACACTTTGGCTCTTCCTCCTGGTGAGGGCAGTCCTTAAATAAGTGTTTCTTGGCACAGTGGCTGCATCTCATTGATGAGTCACATGATTTGGCCATATGCCCGAAGCCAGTGCATTTGTAACAACGCATGACCGGGATGTAGTCGTCCACAGTTAGAGATCTCCAGCTATAGCTCAAGTGTTTTAGGTGTATCAGCAGGTTGCGAATCCC